GGCACATCAACCTTTTGGTTCTCATCGTCGAGAACTAATAATCGAATAACACCCATTCTACTTATGTATTCAATTTCATTATTGATATACTGGATGAAGTCTTTATAGGACATTTGTTGCAGACAGCTTTCAGTTATATGCATCGACGTGATACGGATATTTTCGTAGTAGGAATAATGATCAATAATTCTGTCATGATCAGTCGGTCAGCTGGTTCTGTAAAATAATGTTCTTTACAGTGCCACCACTTTATGCGCCCTCTCACTGAAATAACATGTGACGCAAATTGAAGTACAAAACTAAGTTGAGAGCCTCGATCGTTTATTGGAGGAGAAATTCAAAACTAATGTACTCCACTTTTATGGGCGGAGCTTTCTTCCAGTGCGCTTCAAATTGTAGACATGCTGTCTGCATTATTTGTAACAACTTCTGTAAATGTAAAAACAAAGTGTGTAACCTATTGTAGTAAGTTATCAACATCTAACACTACTTCAGCGTCAAATCAGTGCCTGGAATTGCTGTAATTTGATGTGACTAGGTTATAGCGGTAAGGTTATAGCTATTAGTATGATATTAACTTGATGTGTGGCTTAATGGTAGGAAGATTGTGGGTATGACTTGTGTTGTCAGCTGTTCACTGAAAAAAAAAATAGAATACATACTGCCCACTTGCCAGGCTTTGTTATTTATTGTTGGGAATACGGCGTCCAATCAGCAGATTACTGCGTGATAACCTAATCTTGCCCTAAATCAAGGTCTGTAATTAGACTTTTCATCTCTCTCAAAGGTCATTTGGGCTCAATACATGTATTTTATGGTAAACAAATTACGGTAGCTTATGACCCTTTTATTCTGGTTCACAAAACTGAAACATGTTTTAAAACTACAGTACATTGTCAACAATTAAAAATGGATCATGCAGTACCTCTTCTACCAACCATTTCAATTCTACATCCAAACAGTTCTGAGCTCTGTGAGAATTTCTGTGTGCTCCAGGTGTCTTTGCATTTCAAAATAATTCACAAGTTTTATAGTGAGAAGCATTGTTATCAATAATTTATTATTTACTTATGTAATGTGTTGACTCAAGAACACACGCAACATCAAAGAAACCCTGAAAGCTTTCAAGTTTAACTTCTTGTTTATTCCGCCATTTTCAGTTATCCCAACGGCACTACTTTTTACATATCAATACACTTGGGTGATCAGGTGACATATAAAACCATTACACAAGTATGTATTCTGACGCATGCAATAAAGTAGTCCCACAAACGTCA